AAGAACTTGGTTTTGGGATATTCATCATTTCGGTTTCGAAGGTTAACTATGTAGTACCATGATGTTGCAATTAATCCTTAGTAGAGTTATCAAATATGCTTAGACAAGCGATTTTTGTGTGTATTTTTTGAGATTTTATATGTAGGTAATAGATCTTAGATTTTCTGCATTCTTTGAAAGTTCAGTAATGATGACACTTATTTTGGCCAATCATCTTCGGTCGAACTTGATCATCGTAGGCCATGAGTTTGTTTTGACTAACATTGTATCCTCCTAATCTGCTTGAACAATGGCAATTAATCCATTTTGTGGATGGATCATGCAGTGCATGATTGTTCAGAATCTTATTATATGATTTGGATGGTCGGATCATTGTGATTATGTTTGTTTTGCTCAGGGGGGATTTTTGGCTTTTCTACATCCTTTCTCATATTTGCTCCCTCTTTTTCATTATTTGCTTTTTACTTCAGAAGTTGGTGTGGCACTCATTCTCAAGCTTGTTAGCAACATTCCTCATAATATTTTGGACGCAACATTTTATTTTTCTTGATTTTTTGCTCGGTGTTGTTTTCACTTTGCTGCTGAACAGATTTGTGTGAATTTAGCAAGTCATGGTTGTGGTGGATTCAATTGAGCTTTGGTCATTGTTTGGAGCCAAATTCTACTTGAGTAGATGTCATAAGGAAAAACATTATGTTTATCTGCAGCTTTGGACAATCTAGTTTACTGTCTTCAATGAGCTTCTATCCTTACTAATTCCAATTTCCTAGGATATTGAAGGGCCCAGATGTGCCAACTACTGTTCTGAAATTTTCTCCAGATTATTGCAACATTTTTGCTGTGTCACGGCGCAAGCTCATCATGAAATTTGCTAATCAAGTCTCTGATGGTTTGTGCAAAATCCTATTGACTAATTTCTATTTTACTATAATTTTGATTTCAGTACATTGTCATTCTTGTAATCTTGCTTTTGGCAGATCCCAGCATTAGCACCCATATACAAACAATCAAAGGCAAGCTATTTGTTCAAAGACGTAGGAACCCTCTCTTTGATGCAGTTTTTTCATTGTATGGATTGGAAGTCGGTAATTCACCCATATTATCATTATTGACAGGTGGTACATTGCATTCTCGAGCCCTCAGCGAACCAAGTTCGTCAATTTCTGTTAGAAGTTTTGAAACTTTACCTTCTATTGGAGGACACGAGGAAGGAGAACTAAATAACAAGAATTATGGCTTTCTGGCCTCTATTAAATACAAAACTTCTTTTATGTTTCACTCTTCAAGAAAGGTCAACAAATCTCTCCCTCCCTTGCGCTGTGTGTGTGCGTGTGTGTGGTTAGATCCTCAAAATGATTGACTAGCTAGTAATTAGTACGGTACATAGTAAAATGTATAATTTTATTGTAATATTGACACTGATGTTTGTTGCCTAAAAGAACCTTCAGGATGTGTCTCCAGCTGAAGTTTCAAACTCGAGGAAGGAGTCCCAGAACATTCTTGCTATGTATGATCAAGTTTGTGATGATCTGGTTCATGCAAAGAAGAAGGTTTGAAAAACAAAAAATTCTTGCTTTGCAAAATCAAGCTGGAATTGAGAAATGTGCTTCATATGTTTGCATTACATACCCGAAAAGGCCTAAAACTTACCTTTGTGCTTTTTGTAGATGTATATGGTTTTATGTTTTTATAGGCAAATGTCCAATTCTACTTCATGAAGCTGGCATTTTTGGATAGCATTGTAGGATTTTGTTCTTTGTTAATTTTCTTTAGAAAGCGTGTTTAGTTCCCTTCATTTCAAAATATTTTTTCTTGATCTGTTCCTTTTGGACTCTTCAACATGAATATCAGATTATCCTATTTGTCTTGGATTTTTCCTAAAATGTTTGTGCTTAAGCAGACTTTGCAATGTATCGAATTAAGGTAATACTTAAATCATTGTGGCTCGTTGTTCTCAAGAATAGTAATGTTCATTATTTCTTTTCCATCAATTCATGACTTTTCCTCATCATTCCACATAACATACATCTTTCAGTTGTTTGTATCTCCCCTTTTTGCTGATCTACCTCAATTTCCCTACTGCTCATATCTGATCCATTTTGTGGCTTCTTACAGTTTCAATCACTTTCTTCTGAATACTCTGAAGTTGAAAAGAAATTGAAGAATGGGTTGGAGAGAGAGAAAGTGTTGGAAGCAATTAAAGAAGTTGAGGAAGCAAAACAAGTGTCTGTGAAGGAGGCCCAACATAGACATAAAGCCGAACTTGTAAGGATATCCTCTGAATTATCAAAAACAATAGATGGTTATTTCTTAAACAGCAAATGGTGCCGAAGATATTCAAAGAATGAAATAGAGGTTGCCACTGATAACTTCTCCGAAGCCAAGAAAATAGGAGAGGGGGGTTGTGGGTATGTCTACAAGTGCAACCTTGATCATACCCTGGTAGCTGTCAAGGTTCTTCGACAAGATGCACGTGACAAGGAAGCGGAGTTTCTTAGAGAGGTCTGCACGAAACCCACATTATTTTTCTTTCTTGAAGTTTAATATATTTGTTGGATTTTAGGGGCATTTTCCTTTTTGCTAAAACACAACTTACTAGATCCGAGTCATCTCGGTCATTTATTTCCTTATCATTCTGCTGGAGAGGGGAAGAAAGATAACTGATTCTGATCTTATGCAGGTCAAAATTCTTAGCCAAATTCATCATCCTCACTTGGTCTTATTGCTTGGGGTCTGCCTTGAGAGCGGTTGTCTTGTATACGAGTACATGGAAAATGGAAGTTTAGATGATCATCTATTCAATAGGGATGGCAAAAGGCCACTCCCATGGATAATTCGATTCCGAATTCTCTATGAAGTAGCTTGTGGACTTACTTTTTTGCATGGCAACAAGCCTGAGCCCATTGTTCACCGTGATCTGAAACCCGCAAACATTTTGTTAAATAGGAATTATGTTAGCAAGATTGGAGATGTTGGACTAGCAAAGCTCCTCTCTGATGTGGTGCCTGATGGTCTCACAGAATACAGAGAAACCATTCTTGCTGGTACATTCTTTTACATGGATCCTGAATATCAACGAACTGGCACCGTTCGGCCGAAGTCCGATTTGTATGCCTGGGGGGTGATTGCGCTTCAGTTGTTGACTGGGAAGAACCCAAATGGTCTGATAGTAAGTATGGAAAATGCAATTAGAGGAGGAACATTTTCTGCTGTACTTGACCAATCAGTAAAAGATTGGCCACTTGCTGAGGCAGAGAGATTAGCGAAACTTGCTTTGCAATGTTCTCGACTGACATGCAGGGAACGGCCTGATCTTGATTCAGAGGTTTTGCCAGAACTCGAAGATATATTAAACAAGGGAAATGCTATTATTAATCTGAAGAAACACAACATCGATGCACCGAAACATTATTTCTGTCCCATTCTAATGGTAAAACTCAAATACAAGTTCAAGTCTTCTAAATTCTTTCGGCTCTATTTTTCATGATAGAGGAATTTGTTGTCTGCATGCAGGAAATAATGGATGACCCCTATGTTGCTGCTGATGGTTATACATATGAGCATAAAGCTATCAGGGCATGGCTTGAGAAATATGATATATCTCCTGTGAACAAAATTAGACTTCCTCATACCTCCATAATCCCGAACCATTCGTTGCGATTAGCAATACAAGAATGGAAGTCTCATGTAGCATTCTCAACCTCTTGGAATTGAGTGATTGTGCTGTGTCCATTTTTTTTCGTTTTTGTTTTTGTTTAAAGGATGCCTGACTGGAGGTCCCTTGTTCTCGAAATCTTTGGTGTATGTAAAATAGTGTGCATTTTATGACAGTAGTCATAATTCTTTATGCTGTCATGGAGAAGTGTCCTGGAGCTGTTTATTTTGCTTATTTTATTGTCATTAATTGGCTGATAGAATTATGCACCGCCGATGTTTTGGCTAATTACATGGACATAATGTTTATTGCCATTAACTTCTGTTCTAAGGAATCTTTCTCTTAATCATGAAACAGAGAGACATAAAAAGACCTAGTGATCACCAATTTGGCAAGTTGGAGTGTGAAATTTCACCAACAAAGACATTAAGAAAGTAAACAGGCATAATCAATTGAAGTTTGGAGATTAAGAGAAAGATTCCTTAGAACAGAAGTTAATAAATGATCAGTAAAATAACCAAAGATGTCCTCTGCAAAGTTGTTGACCAGTTGAGGTTTGGAGCCTCAACACTTCAGAATACAACTGTATTGGTTGGAAACTCTGCCTGTTTGCATATTATACTTAGTATGGGATTTTGTTGATCAAAGAGAGATGGCAATGGATGCTAATTTGTGGATTAAGTAAATCAAATCAACAACTTGTGTTGCATTCCCAAATACACTTTCAAACAAGTTGCTAATTCCAATTTGGAAAATGAAACATTTGTAGTCTCCTGCACCTCTTGTCTTGGATCCACATGGAACTCAAACCTGTTTCTACCTCATGACACAGTAAGGCTATCTCATGATCTAATATTTGTAACAAGATTTGGGCAATTTCATATTATCACAAGCTGTAATATTTGAACTATTCAGGATTGACTATATGGATCTTTGGCTATCATTTTGATAATTCTTTGTTACTCGATAAATATGCTAAAGCAAATGGAGAAGAGAAAATTGAGTAAAAATATGATGAAAAGATGCGCAAATCTTATCTGTTGAGACTCAGAATAAAAAACCTGCAGAAGTATTTTGTTGTTGAGGAAATATATGTCAAGACCTTAATGGCATGCAAAGAACCAAATAATGGTGCTATACCTGGAATCAGATGTACAATGAAGCTCCAAGCAGGTATTCATGTGTGTATACTTCAAATCAGAAACATCTTGAAATGCACTGTATGTTTGTGCTTGTGAATATTTCAGCAACTATTGTTTCTCACATTGCATTCATATTTAAAGTAGATATCTAATCTATCAGATCTTCACACAAAGGACTGTCAAATCGCAGAACACATGCATCCTTCAAAAAAACAATGCAGTCTCTTAGCAGTAAGAATTTTTAGTTCCTCAGAAGCTATAAACACACATTACAACGAGATGTTGAACACACATGCGAAGGAGTCATGTCATGCATGCCAAGGCTTCGAAGCCAATCGTTCAGGAACACTACGATCCATAAGTGTGTAGTTTGCCATGGTAACCATTTACTTTCTCCATTTTTCTTACAGAACTCTTCTCCCTTTGTGGTGGTTGATTCTCCAGATCGCAAGAGAAGATGGAAGAATCTGTGTTGATACCAGATAAAGTCTTGCGATGAGAGCGAACAGCCAGGGATGAATGCCCCTGCGGTGTGGAGTTTTGCGCATTCAGAGCTTTCTGCTTCGCCTTGATCGATTCAGTCAAGCTCATGTAGTTGGGCCTACTGCTGCTGCTGTCCTCTGTCCTTTCTGAAGCTAGAAGAGTGCTGCTCGAGAACGGTGTTGACATGAAGATAGACGACGACGATGCAGAGCTCTCGTTGAAGTATAATTCGGTGCTTGGGGATGAGGCAGAACGAGTTCTGCAGCAGTGGTTGTAAGTGATGGTTGGGGGTCTTGCAGAAACCCTGGTCGTGATGTTGTTCTTCTTTATCCTCACTGTACTAGGCTCACTACATGTTGAGTAGATGCCAAAAATGTCTTCTTTGGATTCAGCGTCGGAAGGATTGTTGTGGACTTTGTGTTCCATCAACCTGCTCTCCCATGGTTTTGCAGCCATCCACCTCTCTAACCAGCTCCAGCTCCCATTGCTCTGATCAAAACCACTATGCTTTGAAGAGACCGAACTCTGCTTTGATCTTCCACCGAGGGTTGACTTAGATTGCTGAAAGAAGAAGGGAAAGAACTTTGCTACGCAATCGGGCAAGAGGCTGAAAGAAAACTATGCTTATTGTATTCACCTGTTGAGAAAGAGCATAAGCAATGGCTCTTTCCCTCTTGACAGCTCCTCGGTGCCTCATCTGTAGCTTTGCTCTTACTTCTTCTACTGTGCCCGGACTGTCACACCATCCTTCCTAAGAACGACGAGATGATGCACAACAGCATGATACAAGGAAGATTCACAAAGCATTCGTAGCTAATCTCGAAGCATTTACTTCTTTCTGATGTCACATTAAACTAAAGTATGGATGGAGATTTTGGAGGAAGGAACGAGGAAAAGCTTGTGATGGAAGGATAAGAACGCAAGTCTGCTACCTCTGCTTCTTTTAGAGGATCCAGTGTGCCGCGGCGGGCTTCGAGCAGCCTTTGCACGACCTGCCCCTCGGTGGACATGCGCACCCGCCGCGCCCGGATGCGCGCCTGCACACGCACCAGGGCCTGCATGCACCTCAGCGTCACCGCCGCCTGCTTCCTAACCTGCCGCCCCCGCACTATGGCCTGCAGCCTCACGATCCCTCGCAGCGCCCGCAGCGCCCTCCTCGCCTGCAATCCCAATCCACAACAAGCTCTCATTTTTGTTGAAGGCATCTCGTGCAAGATTGATCTGGACGTGTAGTCCTCCTCCGTTACCAGGAAGGCGCGGAAGGCGGTCTGGATGCGGATGGCCGCCCACTCCTGCCTGACCGCCCTGAAGTCCTTGGGAGGGGCGCGGACGACGGCCGCGGCGGCGGCGGCGAACGCGTCACAGACCGAGGAGGCATCGGACTCCTCGGACGCCGCCGACCGGCGGCTGCTGCCCCTCGATCCCCGCCGCAGCGACAGGTGGTCCCACGAGGAGCTCCTCCACAGCTTCTTCCACTTCCTGCTCCTCCCGTTATCGCCATCGCCACTCTTTTCCTTCAAGAAGGGGAAACCAACAACGCAACCGCAATGAGTCTTTAAAGACCCAGCCATGAGAGAAGAGATTGAACAGGAAAACGACAGAGACTGCAGCGATTACACAGCTATCCTGATCTTGCTTCTTGAGGACAACGACCAACGACTTGATCCACTTCCCCGAACCACCCATTTCTTGACAGGCTTCCACTCCAGCGGAAGGAGAGAGCGAAAGGTGGCAGCTTCGGAAATGGAGCTACAGACTCTGAGAAGACGGTGTAGCTGCTTGTATAGCATTTCAAATTCAAAAGAACATGGAGGGATTTGGATTAAGAGAGAGAGAGGATCTAACAAATCTAAACCTTGGATTCTCTTTCACTTTGTCGGGAAAGCAGGTGCAGTTGGCTTGGGTTAACTCCCAAAGCTGTATAGTTCATCTTTCCTCTTGTTCTTTATGCATAAAGAGAGTGATCTTTACGAAGCCTCTTTCTTGGGAAAGGACAGAGCTAAAGACCTGATGGTCTATTCATCAGGCCACTAATTCATCATCCGCCATTGCTTAACGATCTAATGAACCAAAGATAATGAAATGTGAACGAAGAGAGGGTGGGATCAGTGCAGGTACCACAGCAGGGTGGCTGGCTGAGATGTGGAGTTCTGACACAAACATGAGAGAGAGAGAGAGAGAGAGAGCGACCAATAATTGGCCACAGGCAGGAAGAAGAGAATGAGGAGTTTTAACACAAGATATCTACATGCATACATGTATCTTGTGAAGTACATAAAGTTGGAGTTGATATGTAGTGCATGATCTTGGTAGAAGAAGACCTGAATAGACTCTCTACGGTCGGATATCTTACCAATAAAAAGGAAAGAAGAACGACCATCTTTTTGTGTCGGATCATTGAAGGGAGAACTTCTGTGGTCACCATCATGGTTTGATCTCCCCAACCACTGCTCACACCTCTCGCCTGTTTTAATTGTATCGCCTCCTGTTGTGACGGCGATGGGTTGCGCGGGCGGGTGGAGGAGATCGGCGAGCATGGCGGTGCCGTCGTTTGCATGCCTTCTACGGTGATGCCAAGGCGTACGAGTGTTCCGTTTGTCCTCGTCTCTCCCTCCCTAAGCAAAACACTGTCTTCTCCATCCTCAAAATTTATCATCCATGGATTCAAAATTATTTTTTTTTTATATCATTTTTACAATAGGATTCAAACTTTAATTAGTTTATATATGTAGAGAATCATCCCATTTGGTCGGTCGAGCATTGGGTGCAGCCCGTAGGCTCGCAAAAAATTATCTGTTTTAGACAATCGATGTACTTGCATAGTTTTATCTTTTCGAAACATGTAAATTCCAAAAAACGCTTTTGAGGATAAAAGAGATCTGACGAACTTACGAGACATTAGTTTCCATACTCCTTAACTAATGTGGGACTAATTGACCTTATCAGAATCCATGCTTAAATCGAATAAAATTTTAAATTTTTATCTCTTTTTTTAAAGATAAATAATCATTCGTAAATAATAAAAATTAAGAAACGAAGACCTTTTAATATTTTTTTACTTTGATAAGTAAATTTATATTTTTATTGATATATTTGAATGATCAATTTATATTTTTTATTGATATATTTGAATGATCAACCTTTTACAAGTGTGTGTAGTATATCACCATCAAAATAATATCTTAAATTAGAAAGATCTGAATAAAATTTTACTTTGAATATCATGGTAATGTATTAAATATTTATATTTATATGTCTTATCATGTGTCTGGTGAGACTCCATCATGCCACCTCACATGATGTGGATTCTTTTGATCCTAAGCTTTAGGGTTCAGGTGACATCAAGGATCAGATCAAGTTAATGCAATCCACAAGAAAAAGGGAGTGCCATCCTCACCCACATCCAATGATGCAAGGAGGGATGCATGTGGGCAAAGCAAGTGATATCAATTTGCCAAGCAAGAAAGTGGCCAGACCTTAATTTGATCCAAATTGTTTGTATAATTGGGTGGGGGCAGTGAGTCTGTGTCCAATTAATGTGACTTGGTGACTCAAAGCTTGTCAAAATCACTATTCAATTGGATCTAATAATTAAGAGAGAGAATTGAAATGCTTCCTTTTTTTTGGAAATATTAATAAATAAATTAGAAATATAAAACATCATAACTATTCAATTTTATATTATTATTATTATTATTATTATTGCATTAAATATGGGATTGTTTCTTTTAGTTTATATAAATATGTGACTCATAACTTAAGATTTGCACAGATCATTGCATGCTTTACATCTAATAAACATGAGAGAAAGAGAGAGGGGGGTGATGGACTTCACATGTGGGCACGAGGCGTGCAGCTGCGCTTGCAATCTCAATCATAGACGTGGGGGCGACGCCACCATTAAATTGTGTGGGGACAGCCGGAGCCCCTCCAATTGGGCCTTGTACTTCTACCTTCTCGAACACCAAACTCCTCACCTCACCTCACCTCACACCCCATTCCCTCTCCCATCTCCTTCTCCTCCTCCGCCTCCTCATCATCATCGGTATGTAACCTGGCAAAGGGTTCATGTAGCATCGCCGGATCAAGATGGACAAATTGTTGATGCTATGGGTGGCGTCGCTTGCATTCCTTGTGACAGCGACCATCGCCCGGACTTGGAGGACGAAGAAGACGAACAACCAACGAGCGCAGCTCCCTGCAGGCTCCCGTGGTTGGCCTCTAGTCGGCGAGACCCTCCACTTCGTGTCCTCCGCCTACTCGCCTCGCCCCGAGAGATTCATGGACAAGCGTAGGCTCATGTACGTACGTGAATACCAATCGATAACTCCTCATACATACGTACATCGCCCGTCCCTGCATGACGCCCGCGACGCTGTACAGGTACGGGAAGGTGTTCAGGTCTCACCTGTTCGGTAGCCCGACGATCGTGTCCACCGACGCGGAGGTCAGCAGGCGCATACTGCAGAGCGACGCGAGTTCCTTCGTGCCGTGGTATCCCAAATCCCTCACCGAGCTGATGGGGAAGTCCTCCATCCTGTTGATCAACGGGAACCTCCAGCGAAGAGTTCACGGCCTCATCGGCGCCTTCTTCAAGTCCCCCGACCTCAAGGCTCAGATCACCGGTGACATGCAGAGGTACGTGCGGGAGTCCATGGCCAAGTGGAAGGACCATCAGCTCATCCACATCCAAGACGAGACCAAGAATGTTAGTCCTCTCTCGATCGGCCCTCCCCCCCTCCCCCTCCTCTGCTCCCCCCCACCCCTCCCCCCGCCCGCCCCCTCATTAATTCGGTGCACACGTGCACACCCGTGGCACCACATGAGAGGCCTAAGAATGGGCTCAGTGGCCGTGGATTTAATGAGCTGCACCTGTAATGTTGTTATCATCAATAATGTCTAGTTTGTGTCGATCAGGTAGTCTTCCAAATACTAGTAAAAGCATTGATAGGGCTGGAGAAAGAGAAGGAGATGACGTTCTTGAAGCAACAATTCAAAGAATTTATTGCCGGGTTGATGTCTTTGCCTGTGAAGCTGCCCGGAAGTAGACTCTACAGATCGCTACAGGCAAGTCTACCGCTACGGTGACGCTAATGGTTGGTTTGGTTGGGCATTCATTCAACCCAGTGTTCTACTTGACCAGGCAAAGAAGAGGATGGGGATGTTGATAGAGAGCATCATCGAAGAGAAGAGGAAGAACAACTCGGGATGCTCCCCGCGCGATGTTGTCGACGTGTTGATCAACGACGCCAGTGATCAACTTACCGACGATCTGATATCGGACAACATGATCGATCTGATGATTCCGGCTGAAGATTCCGTCCCTGTTCTTGTCACACTAGCAGTCAAGTACCTCAGCGAATGCCCTCTTGCTCTCCAGCATCTGCAGGTACCAAATCGTTCTGGTTTGAACTCTAAGAACAGGGAGGTCTTCTACTTGTTCATGCATGTCAAGATGACATTTCACTGTAAATTGATCTCAGGAAGAGAATACGCAGCTGAAGAAGAGGAGATCGCTGGTCGGTGAGGATCTGCGATGGACAGACTACATGTCTTTGTCCTTTACGCAAGACGTGAGTTGGGTGTCAATCCGGTGCTATCGAGTTCGATTATTTTGCGGCATCAATTCACGTAGATGAATGATTGCGCAGGTCATAACGGAGACTCTACGTATGGGGAACATAATTAGTGGGATCATGCGCAAGGCCGTGAAGGATGTGGAGATCAGGGGACACTTGATACCCAAAGGGTGGTGCGTGCTCACGTACTTCCGGTCGGTCCACCTCGACGAGAACCACTACGGCGAGGCCTACAGGTTCGATCCATGGAGGTGGAAGGTGAGTCGGGGTTGGTGAGCCATCACCCCACCTGCCCCTCCTTTGCACAACACACGCAAAGGGGGAGGAGGAGGGGGAGGGGGGGGAGAGTTGGGGTGTTGGTCGACCTCATGCGAGTTGCTGTTTTGCTACATCATCTCCCTCCTCTGCTTATCTGATCTGAGTGCGTTCTTCTCCGCCATGGGGCGCCCCCACAGGACAGGGACATGAGTTCTTCTTGTAGCTTTACTCCTTTTGGAGGTGGGCAAAGGCTGTGCCCTGGGCTGGACCTGGCCAGGCTGGAGGCTGCCATCTTTCTTCACCACTTGGTCACCAACTTCACGTAAGGATTGCCATCCCCCCTCCTCTCCAGATCTCTCCACTCCTTTGCTTCTTCTTGTTGCTGCTTTTGGTGCATCCATCACGGATCACACGTGTGCTGGTATCACTGTCTTCGTTTCATCATCATGCATGATGGAGTCGGATCGGCTTTGTGTGACCACAGGTGGGCGGCAGAGGAGGACCAGATAGTGAACTTTCCCACCGTGAGACTGAAGAGGGGATTGCCCATCAGGGTAAGGAGGAAGAGCTGATTATACCACACAGCAACAGGAGCATGATGAACTCAGGAGGAGGAGAAGAGGAAAGGGAAACACGGTCGCAGGAGGATCACAACCCCCAACAAGAGAAATAAATGTGGTGAATGCGAATGAGGTCTGAGACTTTGACCAGGGAAAGCTGCTTTGGATGTTGTGGGGGGTGGGGGGGCGTATGCAGGGCCTAGAGAAGGCTGCCAAAGCTAGCATAGCTTCATCGGCAATTCCAACTCTTGGCTTGTGCTGCCGCATGCTGCTGACAAAGTGGGAGTGGAGAGGACACCGAAGTGGGGTTGCTTTCATGCAGTGGGGACCGTGGCAAGGACTCTCTTCCATCTTGGTGTGGCTTAGCTTCGAGGAGAGGTCCAAAGGCTTCCATGGTCTCAAGATGCAAGCAGTGTCTCCTCCGAGACCACTGGTGTCTTCCCTATCAGGTCTAGGCATACTGCACCAAATGTGACAAGGGAGACTGGGCTCCACGGTGAGATGTAGTAGAATACAACAAGATACATAGATCCTCTGAGACTTGCAGCAGCCTCACCAAGATCTGGTGGGATTTGTAATGACTCTCCTGAAAACTAAAGTTCATACACCACATATATGGGACTTTTTGGATGTGTAGTAGATAGACTCCATTGGTGAGTACCTCTACATTACGTACAGTTACGTAGATCAGCATTGCGCAGCTGAGGTTAATCCAATTCCATGTGCATGTACGTGTCTATACACGCATTTATGCATCTGAGATCACGTACGTGGCACAGTTATGTACTTGTACTGAGCCATTGGCATTTGGTTCCTGAAACCGCAGAACTGCGCTAGATTCTCCACCAAGAGTCGCACTGGCCATTTCCAACTCACTAAACCAAGACACACAGAGAGAGAGGTGGCCATAGTCGTGCACTGGACCCCCACGGCGGTGCAAGTTGCAAGAGGAGTTATCGAGGCAAAAGATATGGGAGTTATTGTGCCTTTCCAGAGGTCTTCCCTACGAAAGAAAGCTTTAGAAAGGGAGGGAGAAGGTAAAACGAGCTATAGTGAGACCAACATTGATCAGTAAGTGTAAAAGTTACCTGGGAGGGAGAGGTCTTCTCATCTGCTTTGCTGTTGAGATTTCTGCAGCTCCATGGATCGATAAACTCACCCAACCAGTTGGTGTAATGGTGTATATCTGATTACCATTTTTTGTGCAAGGATTCGAACTTACTGTGATTAGATATCGACTGAATCATGCCTGCTGCTTCAAAGATATACCTAGCAAGAACAATGATGAGATAATGGAGACCTAAACGTGGACAGGGAAAATGAGATCAGGGGCCCAGAAACTTAATAATGCTGCTACTCAATAAAATAGACAGTTGCTGTCTCAGCCATAATCAATGATTAGATTCTTCCAAGTAGGTGATTCATCATATTCAGAAGATGCAACTTGAATGACACTGAACTTTTGGCATCATAACTTGGATTCCAATCGCTTCTCAATTACATGAAAGTGTCTGGCGAACAACCCAATACAGTGTGGTGGTAAATTCAAATATTACATTTCGTTTTTGCTGGCCGGTAGTAAGAAAACTAGCCAAAATACCACAAAGTTCATTTTCTGTTTGTTCGATCTCTAACATTTGGTATGTATATGTTCTGAGCATGACAGAAAAAACACTGGTAATAGCTTAGATAATATGGTCCAAAAGGCACTACAATTACATGACCAGATCTTGTTTGGGATCTATAGCCTTTAGAGATGTGTAAGACTTGTCATTACTAATGCTCTGAGTACCAAAATGTAGCGATATCCTCCAGCTGTCCCAATTCGTCTTGATCTTGTCGATTGCCTTCCAAACATGAGAAAATTCCACTCTTGGAAGATTAAAATAATAGCTGATGACTACCGTTAAAAGACGGATAAACTTCAACAGTGTTATTGGTGCCAAATGTCTCACTGCTTGCGGCGAATTGTCTCCAAGTCAAAATCTCAATCAACCATCGAGAGCACCTGTTTCAAAGAAATTTGTTAAATTAGTTTGCACGATTCCAACATATTGAAGTAAAGAGGAAAGGAAACCAAATATGACATTAATTATTGAATACCGGTCATAGATCTTAGAAAGAAACATGAAGCAAAATCTCCATGTTCAAGGCGGACAGGCAACATAAAATCCAATCCAAAGTATGGTACAAGAACGAGCTACACTCTACCTCAAACGAGTTTATTAAATCATCAAACCTTAATGCTGACATAGCACCTAAGTTACGATGATCTAAATCAGGTTAACATAACATCGAAAAATCTAAATTCAAAACTATTAGTGACAAAAGACCCTTAAGAAGTAAATCATGTTGTTCTACATTTATATTTGTCTGACTATGATTATTATATGTTTGCCTGCTATAAGTCAACAATACCAAACCAACAGGTAGACTGACCTCACTAACTGGCAATTCGTTGCCTCAAACATTTGAGCAACCAAACAGTCAATCATATGTTAGTTCCATGGGCAACCACTGCCATAGCCTCTCCCGCGATCACAAATGTCAATGACCTGTTAAGATTGTGGTCATATGACTTTGTCATGCATAGCACTGCAAAACACAATGAGCATTCCAAAAAATATATTCGTGATTTTGCTCGACACTGCACCTGACAGTCCCATTGACTGCCCGAGGTGGTTGAGCAACTAGGACATGTGTTCTACATTTCATATATATCACATCCTCACACTTGAGTAACTTGATAGCATATTTGAGTACCATAAGATCATAATAATAATAAAAAAAGACAGTTGCATCAGCAAGCAGAAGTAAAGGGGGAAAGCAAAAGATGATTAGATATAAAAGAAACAGCACTTCATAATAACCCATATGATGGTGAAACAAAAGAGAACTGTCGAATAAACTGCAGGTGGACACTTTTGAGACATTTTAGCCAATCCTTCTACTATATTAGCTGCAGGAAAAGATATGGGCTGTTCCAGTAGCTTGAGCCAGCCTGTTTGACCAATGTGGCATACATAATCCTCTAAGGATTCAACAAAGTCATAATTGATCAAATATTTCATATGCTGGGCATCCAGTAATTAAAAAAGTCAATAGCGGAAAGCATGCAGTTCCAATTAAGAGATAGACATAGTTACAACATTTCATCACCGATGTCTTACCTAAAGCACAAGCAGCACCTATAGCCCTGTCTCAACCTGTATATCTACAATGTTCTCGATCAACGTTTGTCTGAGTCAACCAAATTGAATCATAATCAACAGAATTATATCTCAAACCCTCAATTCTTCGGCTACTGACTGGAAATCGAATTGGAAGCTGATCGCAGCCAATCTGCCACCTGACCTAATAGAGTCACCAAAGATCCAAGAAAACTAGCCATGGTAGTCTATACTTAAGCCGGCTCGCCCTCTCCCATCCCTGTCCAATTCCGCACAATAAAGGTGCGTTTGGGACACAAAACGTCATTTTTGGAACACTATTAGTGGCGAACTTAAAAACGAGACATCGGCACTCTCTGACGGGCTCCCAGACCTCGGCTCCGGCATCCCTCCCGTGGCGGTAGACCTCGGTCGTCGCCTCGGCCATGGTCGTCGGGAGCGGCCCAGAGCCCTCCAGGCCGCCCGACTCAGCGACACCATGCGCTTTTCTTGATTTGGGTAGGCGTAAGGGTTTTATGGATTAGCGTTTCAGGTGTCACCTTCACGTTAGGGTTGGTTTCTCGTCGTCTGCTGCTGCTAACGTCGGCCCATCGAAGAGAGAGAGAGAGAGAGAGAGAGGGGCATCCGACTCCGGTGAGGCGTTTTGTGGTGGTAACAACGGGTCGGGTTGAGATGGGCGACATGGGCGTCACAATACTGGCCAGAATCCGGACCGTAGTGCTGCGGGTTTAGATATACTGACTTGGATCCAAATACGAATAGCGGATCGGGTCAATTGGCGCACGTCTAAGACAACCGGCTCAGTTGACGGACCCTGGATTGGCTTGAAATTATCTTGACTCGGACCGGACCGGTTCGAACCGAGATTGTCACCTTTGGTTCTGTGTCAAGTTCTTCATTGTATGCTCATTATGCTGTCATTTATCCTTTATATACATTAATGGACTGTTCTTAAAAGATATTTTTAGAATTTTCTTGGGTCTTTCATGGTTTGAATTTCTAAAATGCTTTGATGTTGACTCAATTCTATCAATGATTATTTTTTATGGACAATAAAATATTATGATCTGATCTCATCTTCATCAAATACTATTTGTAGTTTTACCATAACATGTAAATATTTTATCTTTGATTCTTATTTTGTTTAAGGAATCCATAAATGATTTAGTATGTTGTTGATGAGATATACAAATTAGGTCTTGTATGGATGAAAAATTGTGCAGCATGAATATTACAATAATATATTACATTTATTCCCTTGAGATGGATGATAAATAGGAAGAAAACTTGTATAGCACTAACACTACAATCTCATATTATATTGTTCCTCATATGGATGACAAATAGAAGGAGGAAAACTTGTACACCATTAACACTACAATCTCATGCTGTATTTTTCCCAACATAGAAACAAAACTTGTGTGGCATTAATGCTATAATCCCTCATCATGTAATTTCTAATATGGATGATAAATGGGAAGGAAACTAATAGTAGTCTCATATTATATTATTTATCATATGGAAGATAAATTGAAAGAAATTTTATGTATCATGTATACTATAATTTTCGGACGAGAACGTTTCATATTATATTAAAAATAAATAAAAATATTATGTCCTACTAGTATTATGATAATATGTTATGTATATATAACACAATCAAATATGTTAATGATTCCCATATATTGTTTTTATGTGACGACCAACAATATCTTCTATAGTTAAACCTCTTTAACATTATAGTTTATAGACTTAAAAAAATTTATATTAAAATTTATATAATTATGAAAGTAAAATATTTAGATTTATTTATCATAAAGTTATTAATTTTATTAATAAAAATATAAAAATAATAAGTAAAAAATATAATTTCAATGTTTTAAATGGTGGTGGCAAAAGTTGATGTTGCTAGGGCCACATATAGTTATTGTGGATGAGAAAAGCGGTGGCGAGAGGATTTGTTTTGTATCGTGCTGTTCTATTTTTGCGTCGATATCGACGTAAATATTGAGTTATCCTTTCGTTGCTTTACATTTACGTTGGCGTTTATGTAGCTGTCCAATGGTAAAAGTGTCGGTATCTACATTTGATGAGGGTAATAATGGCGACATGACATGCCACAACGTCAGTCGCACCTGGACGACACTCTGCCCAAAGAGGCAATAATGTCGACGCGACGTGTGCCGACGTCACCCACTCTCAGACAACGATTTCATCGTTATGACCCAACACACTTGGCCGAGGCAGAGGAGAATGGTAACCGAGGCATGCCCATGTCCTGCTGCAGTTCGGTTCTTCACGCAACGCCAACGATCAGACGCCATCAGAGGTACGATCCTACTCCTGTAGGCAGGCACATCAGGTAACACTAAACTTCCCTATAAATACCCCCGAGTTCTAAACGATGCAGAGGGGGGGGGGAACACCGAGATAGACAAAAAAAACTCCACTCCGCATCTGCTAACTTGATCGTCGGAGGGGTCGGGCTGAGCGCCTCGGCCCGACCTTCGTGCAGGTGCGAGGACCAAGGTCCCCTCCGGACACGCAGGCAAGGAGTTCCTGCCCAGAAGAGACGGCTACACCGTCCTGATCGGACACAGCACTCCGACCTCCCCGGCGGGCTCGTGGAGCGCCGTACAAGATCCCTGCCCATTCGGACCCGAACCAAGTCGTGTTGGCCCCGAGGCCACGGCATAAAGTTGTTTACACTAACAACATTGATAACGCTTTTGTTGCTCGACAATTGTATCGACATGAATATAGTTGTCGAGCGATTCTCATCTCTCGTTATTACTTTTCTCATCCATAACATTCACTTGTGGCCCAACAACATCATCGTTTGTCACCGTCAATTGGAACATTAAATTTTTTTTTTATTTATTATTTTCATATTTTTATCAATAAAATCGATGATATTATGATAAATAAATTTAAATATTTTACTTTCATAATTATAAAAAATTTAATATAAAATTTTAAATTCAAAGAAGATCTAATTAAATTATATATATATATATATATATATATATATATATATATGCCATGAAAAAGAATAGTACTGCTTTATCTTTTGTCACTCCACTTCAATTTTTCTTTTTTTTTGTTTTTTTACCGTTTCTTTTCTTTATTATTATTATTATTGTTTTCTTACCCCTTTCCTTCACCGCAAGTATTCCAACGCCGTACCCAAATTGCCACCTCCGCCTCAACAGAAAAGAAGGCTTGTACAGAACATTGGAACCCAAAGCCGAAGCAGAAGGGGCAGAAAGAAGTGAGTAGGGGTTCTCTCTGATCCTCTCTATTCTATTCTCGTGGGATGTCGAGCCTCCGCCCATGGCGGTGCCACCATCTGTAGTTGCGTACTCCTCCTCCTCCTCCTTCCTCCTATTCATCTCCTCCCTTTCTTTCTCCCTCCTCTTCCTCCTCCTCCTCCTCCTCTACCTCAGGAACAAGAAGCGTGGGCATCCGTGGCTCGGATGCCGAGAAAAGGAGCACCATCACCTCCGCTACGACCTCTCCGCGTGGGACCCACCTCCGCAGCCGCCCAAGGACGGCGGGGAGAAGGACGCGGCGGCAGCGGCGGAGCCGGCGGGCGGTGAGGACAAGGGCAGGAGAAAG